TAAAACCGGAAAAAGTTGTTTTTAGACTATTCTCTCAAAAGGCTGTAATTTTTGTAAGTTTTGCCTTTTTTCGATTTTTCATTATTATCCCTATTGTAGTTATAATAATTATACTAATTATTATGGTCATTTTCATCATTATAGCTATTTTTATAATGATAATATCAATAATGATAACTTTAGAAATAACAAGAATGATAATTATAATATTTAGGATAATGTCATCATTATTATTTCTATTATTAGTAGCAGTATGAAAAGCATCAAAATTACCATATATAAGCGAATTTTTTTTTTTGACTATTTTCTCAAAAGGCTGTAATTCAATAGATTTTGCCATTGTTTCGGCTTTTGGGATTTTTTTACTTTTGGACTTTTTCATTATAAATGGGCACAATGATTATCATTTTCATCTTTATTATCATTACTATTGTGATTATTATCATTATAGTCATTATCGCCTAATTATCATTATTATTATCATTATTGCAGTTATAATAATTATAATGACAATAATGATAATTTTAGGAATAATAACAACAATAATGATAATTATAATAATTATGATAATGTCATTAGTATTATTTCTATTATATTATTATTATAGGTACGAAAATCATGAGAATACTCTTAATTATTGTTATTATTGCAGTTATTATCAAAATTATCATCATAATTATAATTTTATTATTATCATCATTGTCATTATTATCATTGTTATTATTATCATTGTCATTATAATCACTATTATTACCATGATCATAATTAACTGAATTATTGCCAGAATCATCAAAGTTGCCATTTTTTTTTTTTTTTTACTTTTAGGCTTTTTTCAATATAAATGGGCACAACAATAATAATTATTATGATTATTATCGTTATTTTCATTATTATTATGATTATTATCATTATAGTCATTAGCGCCATAATGATCATTATTACAGTTATGATAATTATTGTACTAATTATTATTGTCATTTTCATCATTATAACTAATTTATAATGATAATAACAATAATGAACATTTTAGGAATAATAACAGCAATAATGATAAATATAATAATAATGATAATGTCATTATTATTATTTCTATTATTATTATTGTTATATTATTGTTATTATTGCCGTTATTATCAAAATTATCATCAAAATCATAATTATATTATTATTATTATTGTTATTGTCATTATTATCATCATTATTGTCAATATTAATGGATTATCATCAAATTGATCATAATTAACTAAATTATTGCTAAAATCATCAAAATTAATTTATATAAGCGAAAAAGGATTTTTTTCGATTATTCTCTGGGACCGTCTGGTCTCAGAGAATAATCTGGTAAATGGGCACAATAATTATTATTTTTATCATTATTTTCATTATCATTCTGATCATTATCATTATAGTCATTATCACCATAATTATCATTATTGCACTCATAATAATTTTTATACTAATTATCATTATCATTTACATCTTTATGACTATTTTTATATTCATAGTAACAATAAAGAAAAAAATAGGAATAATAACAACAATAATGATAATTATAAAATTATAATATCATTAGTATTATTTCTATTATTATTATTGGTATGAAGATCATGAGAATACTCTTAATTATTGTTATTATTGCAGTTATCAAAATTATCATCATAATTATCATTTCAATATTATTATCATTATTATTGTCATTATTATCATCATTATTGTCAATATTAATGTGATTATCATCAAAAATGATCATGATTAACTGAATTATTGCTAAAATCATCAAAATTACCATATGTAAGCGAAAATAGTTTTTTTCCGACTATTCTCTCAAAAGGCTGTAATTCGCTTGATGTTGCCATTTTTTTTCGACTTTTGGGAATTTTAAAGGGGCACAATAAATATTATTATTATCATCATCATTATCATTGTTTTCATTATTATAATGATTATTATCATTATAGTCATTATCGCCATAATTACAATTATTATTATCATTATTGCAATTATAATAATTATTATACTGGTTATTATTGTCATTTTCATCATTATAACTATTTTTATAATGATAATAACAATAATGATAATTTTAGGAATAATGGCAACATTAATGATAATTCTCATAATAATGATAATGTCATTATTATTATTTCTATTATTATTATTTGTATAAAAATCATGAGAATACTCTTAATTATTTTTATTATTGCAGCTATCAAAATCATTATTATAATCATCATTTTATTGATCGTATCATAATTACTGTCATTATTGTCATTATTATCATTATTATAAGCGAAAAAGTTTTTTTTTCGACTATTCTCTCAAAAGTCTGTAATTCGCAAGATTTTGCCATTTTTTTCGACTTTTGCGATTTTTTTTTATAATTTGGGATTTTTTTTTATAATGCCCATTTTCATTATAAATGGGCACAGTAATTATCTTTATTATTATCATTATTTTCATTATTATGATTATTATCACTATAGTCATTATCGCCATAATTATCATTATTATTATCATTATTTGTTATAATAATTATTATACTAATTATTATTGTTATATTTATCATTATAACTATTTTCATTCTGATAATAACAATAATGACAATTTTTCGAATAATAACAACAATAATGGTAATTTTAGGAATAATAACAATAATGATTATTATAATAATAAGGATAATGTCATTATTAGTATTTCTATCATTATTGTTGGTATGAAAATCATGAGAATATTCTAAATTATTGTTATTATTGCAGTTATTTTTAAAAATATCACCATAATTATAATTTTATCCTTATTATCGTTATTATTGTCATTATCATGATTATCATCATTATTGATATTATTAATGGGATTATTATCAAAATGATAGTAATTAACTAAATCATTGCTACAATCATGAAAATTATCATATATAAACAA